GCTTCCTCCACGCAGGATCCTGAACTCGACCATTTCATGGTCACTGCAGCCGAGTCTACCTCCAGCCTTCACATCCTCCGCCAGTCCCTCCTTGTTTGTTAATACACGGTCCAGCAGAGCGCCTTTCCTTGTTGGTTCCTCCACCACTTGCATCAGAAAGTTATCATCGATGCTCTGTAGGAACCTCCTGGATTGCACCTACCTAGCTGTATGGTCTTGCCAGCTGATGTCAGGGTGGTTGAAGTCCCCCATGAGAACCAGGGCCTGTGACTGTGAACACTGGGGACTGGAAAGCAGCTGCTACACATCTTGGGCAAGTACCCCACTGTGGGTGATTAGAGTCAAGACTGAAGGACATATCGCATGGGCTTGCCAGTGACACTGCTTGGCCAAAGTCAGTAATGGGGTAGTAGAGTGGCAAAGTGGTCTTATAGAATGCGACTACTGCCATTTGTTAGCAACACTTGTTCTGGACTTAAATGTTAGTAATTAGACAACCATCTTATAAAAATTCTGTCCTTGACATTGGCCACTTCCCATAACAAATGCCTTTTTCAATTCTTCAGGTGTTGATGACTGTGTAACTGGAAGATTATTGTGTTTTCCCATGTATCTGCTTAAGAGTCTTTTTCCAAAAGGTCAATGTGTCCCAGCTGTTTCTGAGGCATGTGTACTGAAAGAGCAGCTCTGCACCCAGTTAAGGAGATTGTGGGGCACTCCCTCTGAGCCAGTCAGCTCTCTTGCTCTTTTCTCATCCACGCTCTTCAAAGCAGTCTCTTCCAATTTCATTGTCTTGAACCCTGCAAAGTTCTTACAGAATTTGCCTTCAAGCATTATAATGTTTGCAATTGAATGCCCGCTAACAGCTGCAATGAATTGACGACTCCCAGATTGTTGCCTCTGCAAGTTTTAATTTGGAGGTGTTGATACAGCAACAAAAGCATGAATTTGAAACAAACTAAAAAACTGAAGGAGGAAGTTCCAGGCTGAGTGCATCCTACAGAATTCATTTCTAAGAGGCTCATTTCCTCTGGAGGCTTCCCAGGAGAAGAGGCAGCTGTTCCAGCACTTCACAGCTCACATGAAATCAAGTTCAGTATGCTTCCACAAATTTGATGATCGACAGATGCTCATGAAAGGTGAAGAATGGCCCAGACAGCACATTGAAAATATTTTCACTTCACTTCTCCTTGTAGTGGCAGGAAACAATGTGTAAAGCTTGGTGTTAGCAGTTACCTGGGCGAGTGGGAGAACAACATTTAAAATATGCAGTAATGTTCTGGACTTAGGATGTAAAGGAATTGTATGAATTTTACAATATAGGTAAATAATTAAGTGGGTTGCAACACTATCCAGCAAGGCTGCTCTAGGTTTCTCTCTTTCTGTGAAGTATCCAGTAAAGAGCAAACCAGAGCCTTGATAATTGCTTCATAATAAAAGTTGGAGCTAGCGTTGCCTTCGAAGTGTGATTTTGATCTCATTGTTCTCTTTAATGTCATTAGATATGTGTATGAATTTATCATTTAGCTTTCCTCTCAAGATAGCAATTTGTCTGGTCAAAATTTAAAGTTAAATACATAAGATGTCCAGGACATCAGCTGGAAAAATAGGCAACCTCTTCCCTTTCTTGAATAACCTGTTCTGAAACATTATTACAGCAGCTGTGATATGTTCTGTGTATTCTGTGGATTTTTTTCAATTATTCTCAAAGACAGTATGTATTTGAGGCTGGTCTTTTAATCACTTAAGTCTTTACTTTAAAATTTGAGACTTTGTCAGGCCCTGTAAACTCGCATTGACTGTTGTATTAGAACTAGGCTGTTTCAGTGAGAATAAGGAAAAAGATTGGTGTTTATTCAGACATGCTGGTTTGTATCTGACACCTAAATTCACATCTGAAGAGGAGATTATAGGGACTAGTATTTGGAAGGGATGAAAATGAATGAGGTACAGGACTGAGAAACACACACAAGGTCTTTAACCATTGGAGTGTTTCGAAGTACAGGATAGTCAAGCATGAATTGTTACTACCTGGAGTAATTTTTAATCGTGCTAATTTTGATGCCATTCATTGTCCAAATCTTGCCACAGCAGATGGAAAGAACATCGCAAGCTACCTGAAAAGCCTGCTGTAGTGACAGTTCTCCAAATAATAAGTCAAATGCACAGGGAGTGTGAGCAGTAGGAGAAAGGAGATGTTCATATTAGGCAGAATAAGTTCTTACTTTCTTCAGAACTAAGAAGTGAATGCCTTATAATAATGTTTTTAATTTCTTCCAGAACCTGGATGCTTTGCATGACCACCTTGCTACTATTTACCCGGGTATGCGAGCCCCTTCCTTTAGATGCACTGATGCAGAGAAGGGGAAGGGACTCATTCTGCATTACTATTCAGAAAGAGAAGGTCTCCAGGACATTGTCATTGGAATCATCAAAACAGTAGCTCAGCAGATCCACGGTACAGAAATAGACATGAAGGTAATGTCTGAAGGGATGTACACATTGGAAGTTTATGGCATTAGGACAAAATCAAGAAAATCAAAAGTGAAGTGATGTCAAACAATCATTTTCATTGTTGCTGTCCTCTGTGAAGCAGTGGCATCAGTACTGACTCAGGAAGAGCCATCAGCATCTGTGTTACTTTAACAACAGGTCAGCCATGTGCTGAGAAGCCCAGCGCTAATTTGCAAACAGATCCAATCAGGGAACAGTTCAGAACAATATCCCCTTACTCAAAGAAGGAGATGATGTACAGAAATTAGGTACTGGGTTATTTGGGGTGTTATTTTTCACTTTATTTTATATTTGGCGTATGTTTCTTACTGTCTACTGTATTCTGTGAGAACACGGACATTATGTCTCTGTGTCCTAGATTCTTCATCTATGTGCAAACTGTGAGGCTGATGTGCATTGAAGAGGCCTGGCTGGCGAGCAGAGTGTTTTCTTCCTTCCCAGAATCAAGATGTGTTTGTAGATCTCATACTGCCATTGTGTGGGAGCGTGGCTGGATAGACACCTGCAGCCCTAGAAGTGGAAAAATGTTCCCCAGTCACAGAATTTACATAATGTCATGTGTGCGAAGTTGCTTGTGGAAAGACGCTTCTGCTTTGTGTCCATACAGAGCAACAGAAAGATTTAACTGATTGGGCCCTGCATGTGTAATCGTGTAAAATCAGAGCTTGATCCAAGGTGCAGATATGTCTGGGGAAAAACAGCAAATAAAGCTTTTTGGTGTTATAAATATTGCAACTGATATAAAATATTTTTTATCAAGTAGAAGAGAATCTAAGAGCATACAACAAGCATTTTTTTTTTAACCATTACCTAGTCGTATTACATTTCTAGCACAGTTTCATTGTATACTTGCTCAGAAAATCAGTTCCAGTTTCATGAGTGTACCACAAAAATGTGATCTTGCTCAGATAAGAGATTTACAAGGAACCCGGTGACAAAGGTATTTGTACTGCTGTGTCGGAGTATTTGCCTTTTAGGTTTCTTGTTATAAACTAGCTCAGGTTTATACAGAATGGCTGGTTCTGTATAGTGATGGTGGTCTACTTGATGTCCTTGTTTAGATTCTGCTTTGTAGAAATCCATGTTTCAAACTTTTGCAGCAGGTGTTAGTAGTCAGATACAGAAGGATGCAACAGAATCAAAACAATCCTCTTCTTAGGTCCCTGTTTATTCAAAGTGTTGAGAAAGACAAGGAGGACCATGTTGGAAAGTTGGCTGCAAGAATGCCGAAGCTGTTGCTTAACAAACATTTCTTTTGGTAGCACAGGCAGCTTACGCAGTTCCCCTTCGCCTACTGCCTGAGCTTGTCCTATGACAGCTTCTTCATCTGTTTCTCTCCAGCTGTTTTGGAGCTATAAAATAAACTAGACTGAGGAAATGAACTAGGTTCAAAATAACAGGGTTTTTCTCTTGGTTATTTTTACCCACATCTGTTGCTTTATGTGATTTGGTGTTCTGTCTGTCAAAGGGAGTTCTGCCAACATAGTTGAGGGGTCACGCAGAGAGAAAAATGATCAGTGGGGCAGAGGAGAAATCTGGGATGTGCAGAGCAGCTACGAGAACAAGCTTTTCTCAAACTGTGTCCTCAGTCTGAATGTTACTTTGTTGAGAAGATTGTGTTGGACAGTTCTGATATCCATCTAGGACTTCTCGCAAATAATATATGTTCCAAAGAGGTTTAAATATTGATTCTAAATTTACTTCTCATTTTCATTTGACTTTTTTAGGCTTTTCTGGAAATTTTATTCTTGTACTGTAATCGAATACAAATTTAACAGTATTGGTCAAACCTATTGTAAGTGAGCACAAAGTTTAATTTAAATCCACACTATTCTTCCAGACCGTCTGAGCCAAAAGCACATAGGTGCTTAAAAATAAGTGTTACCTCTAAACTGAAGAAAGTGCATATTGTTTGTATTTTAATTTGTCTGTTACCCTATTTTTTCCCTTGTCTGTATTAGAAAGTCATGTGCCCTCAACCCTGAACTTTTTCTTGACTCTCTTTGTTAATAAACCTAGCTTTTGACACCTTTAATGACATTAAATAGTACTTTACTCCACAGGTACTCACAGACATCAGTGGTAGATAAGCAGAGAATAATCAGCTACTTGTTTCTGTAGAGTGAGAGTGCCAAAATTTGCAGCTTATCCACACAGGCAATGAAAGTCTCCCTCCACTACTCCACAGGTCAACTATTAATCATTAATAGTACAGAGTGAGGGTTTTAAAGCAGAGTAAGTCTGCCGTTGTGGTACCTGGCTAGTTTTACACTGTTCAAAAAAATGAACAGGAGAAAAAAATTGACCGACTTCTTTCGTCTCGATCTCTTGCCTCCTAAGTTAGTAAATTAATGCTTTCGTATTTCAGACTGTTAGTAATGCATTGTTTGAAATAGCACAGCACAGGAAAACAGTGGAGTTGCTTTTCATCCCCTCAGTTTTTGTGGACCGATCAGTGCCTCTTCTGTAGAATTTTTGGTTTGGACTTTAGTTAGAATTTTGCTTAAAGATTGGAACTGATAAGAGCCTCAGTGTCTAGCCCTAAGTTACTGATGTTGCCTTCTGACTTGCAAGAACAGAGCTGAGATTCTGAAGCTGTCCTTCCAAATCTCTTTATCCAAAGCGTTTACCTAACAGTCCAACACAGGACTGGTTTAGGAAGTTCTGCATAGTTCTCTTTATATTAGTGTAAAGTTGATATCTGCAATTTGATGTTTAGTACTTTAGTATCCACTTTTCTTCTCTGGCTGTTTACAGCAAATGCTTACATAAATCTGCTTGAGAGAATGCATGCTTCTGAGTCTGTATTTTCATGGATTTTTGCTTGGATTTGTCTTACATATTACCAGTTTCTGTGAAGGTGGTAGCAGATCATAATTGTTTGTGACAATACTGTTTTTATTTCATTAAGTGGTTAGATTTTGTTTCATGGGTTACATAGAATTGCAGAATGGCAGAGGTTGGAAGGATCCTCTGGAGGGCATTTTGTCCAACCTCACCTGCTTAAGCAGGCCCACCTAGAACCAGTTGCTCTGGGCCATGCTCAGACAGTTCTCAGCTGCCTCCAGGGATGGAGACTTGACAAACTCTTTGGACAACTGGTGCCAGCACTCAGTCCCCCTCACATTAGAAAGTGTTGCCTGATCTTCAGACAGAACCTCTTGTGTTTCAGTTTGTGCCCATTGCCTCTTGTCCTGGCACCAGGCACCACTGAAAAGAGCCTGGCTCCATCCTCTGCACCTTCCCTGCAGGTATTTGTACACATGGATAAGATCCTCTTGAGCCGTCTTTTCTCCAGGCTGAACAATGCCAGCTATCTCAGCCTTTCCTCTGATGAGAGACACTCCAGTGCCTTAATCATCTTAGTGGCCCTTGACTGCACTCTCTCCAGTGTGTCCATGTCTCACTGGTACCAAGGAGCCCAGAACTGGACACAGCGCTCCGGGTGTGGCCTCACCAGTGCTGAGTAGAGGGGAAGGATCACCTCCCTCAACCTGCAGAGAAAAACGAAGGAATCTTGTGATGAAAAGAGGCAAAATACATATTGAGAAAACCACATTGTTCTTGTTTTGTCCCAAAATTGTTTTTTTGAGTGGATATATAGCCAAATAGAAAAAAAATGTTTACTTTTATCACATTTCTGCTGTTTCACACAGAACTTTTTTATACAGACACACAGACACACAGACACACAGACACACGCACAGACACAGACACATGCACACACACGCGCGCACACACACACACACACACGTTCTCGTGTCCTTCAGGAAAGGTGTCTTTTAACACCTAGGGTATGTGTGCGCTGAGGGCAAGAAAAAAGAAAAGGTCTCAGTTTGTCGCTGTTAAACTCTGTTAGCACTGAAAGGAAGGCAATTTGTTTTGAACTTTGATTTCGCAGTTGCAGTTGAATAGTTCAGGAAGGCCTAGGTTGACATTAATTGATTAGTTCAAATGCAATTTGCCTTATCTTCCCTGATATGGTCATCCATTTTTAGCTGAATAGAGCGAAGACTATATAATTTTTGCAGCAGGTATTGTCCCAAGAGTTCTTGCTGACTTGGAGAAGACAGCAAGAATATTTAAGTTCTGCCAGTCTCAGTATGAGAACTAAAAATCTTCATGGTGCTGATGACCAGCTTTGGCATGAGATCTCTGTTAGCAGCCTTCTGGCTCTGCCTTGTCTTGCTTCACTTGTCAAAGGTTGTTTGTCTGTAAGTGAGAGTGACCTGTGAAGGTAAAGTCAGGACAGTTAGTCCCTCAAGGGTACAAATGGTATGAGTCAACGAAGAATGCTGTACAATCCTACACAGCCCAGAAATCCATTGGGAAAACAGACTTCTGCAGTTCTGTTATTATCTGAGAGCAGACTGTCAAAATCTTTCTTTTAGACAGGGAAGATGGTTTACAATATCAAATGAGAAAAGGCAGGGGGAAATCCTTGACAAGATGGTGATTTCTGTCTGTCTCATTACTAATGGCAGTATAAAAAAAAACAAAGCCAGGAAGTGACCAGCTGAAGAGCTGGCTTAAAAACTACTGAAGTACTTGTGCAGCACAAGTGGTACTGATCCATACTTTAAAATGCTGTCTGTGTATGCAGAGGAGTCAATCGTGGAGCATAATCAGCCGCTAATTCTGACACAAGGGCACCCCGAAACTTCACTAGGTCTGGGCTCAGAGGTTTGATGCAGTGAGAGTCTCTGCCTTGAAGCCAGCTGCCAGCTGGAGACATCCTGGTGGTTTTAACTTTGGGTGTGGAAAGCTAAGAGTGGTACCATTTCCACAGTGAACTGCTTTGCCTCAGGATCACCCTGAAACAGCTGCAGTCAGATTTGTCAGGTAGCATTGCACAGTTGGTTTTGGTCAGAAGAGATCAAGCATTTCATCCTGTATTGCCCTTTTAATGGCAAAAACCTGACTTCGTATTAATCTTCACAATCCAATGGAAAAAGATTCCTGTCCAAGGACGTTCTGTCCCTCCCCCATGCTGAGGTAAAAGTGTATCCTGGGGACATGCACGTATCTATCAGATCGAGTTTTGTTTTGTAGATACATGAGTGAAAGTTTAACAAATCGCATGTGTTTTGTTATACATGCTGTATCGCAGTGATGCTGCTTGATTTAATATCTTGTGTGAAGCACACCAAATACATTAAACCACAAAGTCATTTAAAGATAACTGTCTGCCCTGAAATATTGGTGTGATTTTTCACTTGGCTAAGCAAGGACAAATTATGAAGATACGTCTTCTGGAAAGCACAGTCAGGTTAGCAGGCAGATGTTATGTATTCTCTTTGAAACCAGGAGAGTGATTTTTCCCTTCAGTTTTTAACTACGGTTACTATGGTGACTGAGATCTTAGACGTGGTGAACTGATGTCACTTCACCAGCTAAGACCGCAGGGGGAGGAAGAATTAGATGATTCCTGGCTTTGTTGCTTCTGTCACTCAATTTTCATTTGTCAAGCATTTAACAGAGGCTTCTTCAACAACATTTAAATGATACTGAAATTCTGTGGCTTGCAAACTTTGCTTGCAGAATGAAACAATAGAGAAGTTCTATTCTAGTTAAGCTTACTGCAGAGTATCTAGGGCAGGTCTTTATGCCAGATGAGTGTCTGGCCAATTAGGTTGGATCTGTAGGTACAAGGGTGAAGGGACAGAATTTAACATACTATGTTAATGACCAGAAATACTTATTTTAAATTTGCTGACAAGGTGGATGAGATAGACAGGAAGATTAGATAGTGCATAAATGATGTGAGCAGAAAAGACATCATGAAATTGCATATCCAATGTGAAGTTATTTCTTAGCCTGGAGAGGGGTATGATTGTAGCTTCTGTTAATAAGGGTCTGTACATGGATGACTGGAATCCAGTTCAGTAAACCAGCGATGTCCACAGCGTATTGGGTTTACCAGGAGTGTGTGGCTGGCGCTGTGGCTGTCTTGTAGATCTGACACATTTCCATGTGTTTGGCCTGTTGTTCATGGCTGCACTAATGTGATGCACTAGTACAGCAAGCATTTCTAGATGCCGTGGAGTTTGGTCAAAAATGGTGTTGTAAATGAACTTGAAGATGTCTGGGAAACTTGCATTTTTGCACTGTTACTGACACAGTTCTAATGCATAAAGTTTAAGAAAATAGCATGTTGTGTGTGATGACTGACTTCGTGACTGTGTAAGCTTGTAGGATCTGTGGAGGATCATGTCTCAAATCTAGCTAGATGTCTTGAAGCATATAGCAGTTCTATTTTTATAGGGTTTTTTTATAACCAACACTTGAGTTTTGTTTATGGATGCATAATTCATTTGTAGTAAATGGAAAAAAAATGGGAAGTTATGAAAAATCCGTTAGATGCTGCATGGTAGCAGGAAAAAATGTGTAAGTACAGGTGCAGATTGGTAACAGAGTCTTAGTATGCAGTGACTAAGAAGGTTGCTAGGTGATAATATTAATATCTCTGGAAGGTGATGTGCTGTTAATATGACCATTTCCTTAAAAATTACTAGACTTTTAAAAATGAATTTTGGGAGTGCTTTGCTGAATAAAGAAGCTTTTCATCCAAGTATGGATTTTTTTTCCAATGTGGCAAGAGTAACTCTTTGAAGTAAGATCAAAGACTGGAAATGATCTGGACGCATAGATCAATTCTGGTGATAAGTCTACACAATTTGAAAAAGATTACTGCATATAATGTCAGCTATCCCTAGACATAATAATAGTAAAAATAAAATAAAACCAATGGGAGTGTGTATGAGTGATAGAAAGTAAGAACTAAGACTGTAACTGTGTTCTCTCAGTCCTCAGTATGGCCACAATTTCAGAGATAATGATTTAAGGAAGAGGAAGACAAAGAGAGCGTTTAACCCCTGAATTCAGAGGAAAACTAGGTCATATCAACATTAACGTTGAACGCATTCATACATCCAGCTTTAGGTACCTATATGAACCAGTAAATTTAGTAGGCTGATCTTTCTCAAAGTTACTTAATGTATGTAATACAAAGAGAAGACTAATGCAGCACATGGTATAGAGCACCTAAATCAGGCTCCTGATCTGAAATGTCCTCCAGAGAAGCCTCTCTTTCCTTTCAATGCATAGTCAAATAGGAGATCAAGGAACACTACCTTCTTAAATTAAGCATCATTTAGCAATAAAATCTTGTTTTGTTGTTTTACACTCCTCCATTTGTATAGGAACAAATACAGGAATCAGCACTCCCTGACCGATCAGCTAGCATGGCTGACAGCTGTGGACGAGAAATATTTAATAAACTAAATATCTTAGGGATCAAGTGCAGTGTTTGTGCGCATCTGTTCTATTTTCATATTGTAACTGTTCATCTCTGTGATCAGACTATGTGTCTAAGGGCAGACTCAGGATGCCTTAGAGATTTTAAGAAGTCTTTTTTTGCTTCAGTGGCTTTGGGATCAGACGCTACATGAAGGTAGAATAGGGTGCAGCATGTTCCAGAAAGTTGCCGCTGAACAATACTATGTAAATAGGATTGTTCTGTTCCAGTCATTAAGTCTAATTAGGTCTGAGAAGAGGTGAATTTGGCCTCTCAAGGTAAATTATGTTATTCTATTAGTTATTAGCTTTAATTATACTGCAATACATGACTCTCACTGCAAACAAAATAATGCATATTAATTTCACATTTTTTATTAACTTTGAGTAAAATTACTGAAGTTTGGAATGCTATATTCAAGACACCTATGTGAGGTTCGACTGAGGTAGATGACTGGTTTTGCTGTGATTACATTTAATATGGAATGCAGCTTGGAGAAGATTGTCATTGCTTTTAGTTTTATCTGTGGTTGCTGATTTTGCAGTCGTCACTGCTTGAATGCGTAATGACTGTGTATTCAAACATCTGCTCCATCCAGCTTTCTTCTGGCTGACTGTGACATGCCCATCCTCTGGTCAGCTCTGTTGCTGTTGTGTTATAGACCTTGCTAACAGCTTTCATCAGAATAAGAATTCAAGTGGTCTGTGTAATTCAAGACTTGCTACATGTTCATTTGAGGGGAGAGAAGAGTCCTGTCTTCTGGCATGTACTGGTAAAAGCAAGCATAACCTGAGCCTTGACTGCTGATTTCAGGATGTGCATTTCACTCAGGCTTTATAAATTGTATTTGAGTGATCTTCAGTATGTTGTTCATGCAAAGAGCAACTGTGGCTAAGCAAAAGGCGTAACTGTTCATCTGGAATTATAAAGACTCTAAAATCAGAAATATTTATTATAATATAGTATTTTTCAAGATGCAGATATCATGCTTGAATTCATCTTTCTGCACTGAATGTATTCCTGTCTTCATAGTAGCATGCCAGTTATTAATGAGTAGCAAAGTTTTCAGTTTTTCATTTTTTCCTTCATTTTTCTAGGTTATTCAACAGAGAAATGAGGAATGTGACCACATTCAGTTTTTAATTGAAGAGAAAGAGTCTAAAGAAGAGGACTACTATGAAGACCTTGACAGATTTGAAGAAAATGGTACCCAAGAGTCTCGCATCAGTCCCTATACTTTCTGCAAGGCCTTTCCTTTCCACATAATATTTGACAGAGATCTGGTGGTTACGCAGTGTGGCAATGCTATATACAGAGTCCTTCCACAGGTTAGGTGATTCTCATGCATGAGTAATCATAGAGATTCCTAATGCTAGATACTTCACAAGTTTATTTTAAACATGAATGAAATAGATTTAGGATTTTCTGTCTAAATAGCATTCCTGTGTAACTGTATAATACAACATTGTGCTCCTCTTGTTTGAAAAAAGACTCTGAAAATAGCCCTAATTCTACAACAGCTCTGTTCCTTATGATCATGTCTATGTTCAGTAAGAGAATAAGCTTGAGCAGAGAAAACCTGATCGCCCCCACAGTTCAGGTGTTAGATTGATACCCAGTTCTTTCTTGTAGCTCGCTCCAAGATACATTTGCTATGAAAGTGGCAGATAAAATTTTAAAGTGGGTGTGAGGGTCAGTGCAATTTGGCCTGGAGTTCAGGAAATGGTCTTGTCCTTACTACTGTATAGTGTGGCAGCAAGTACATAGTCTATATATATTACTTGACAGTAATATCTTCAAATACTTAAGCTGTCAGATGCACACTAACTGAAGAGCAGAATAACGGAAGTTGTGGTATGCTTTCTTGGCTTGTGCATCAAAAGCATCAGTGTTAACTAAGATGAGCCAAACTGTTGGTGATTTGTATATATGTGTTCTGAACTGAATGCAGCTGCTGCAATTTCCTCTGGTTATTTACAGTGAAAGAGTACTCAGAGGTCCATTTAATGTTATGTGTTCTGTATATGAATAGGATACCTCAGTTCTTGCCTGAAAGAGCTGACAGTGTTTCTACAAATAAGCAACAGGTTAAAGCAGTAATATGAGAAAAGCAAAGGTAAGATGATATAAAGATCAAATGATCTTTACAGTTATATAGGCTAATGTTGCACACACCATGTTGTTTCTGAATCATTGACATACTTTTAAAATGCAATGCTATGTTACTTGCTTTTTCCTGCAATTTGTTTTTGGTGATTGCTCTCTGAATTTTGCAGAAAGTTTTGAAAGAAGAGCTTTATAAGTAGATGTACCAGATTTTTCCCAAGGGCATTCACTGAACAGCTATAACTAATTATTCAGCCTACTGAGGATGGCTATCAGAATCCTTTTTATCAGAGTTGATGCTTTATAGAACATAGCTTATTGAAAATAGAGTTTGAAGGAGGTCACTTAGGAGAGAAACACTGCAAAGCGTTTTTTACTGTAGAGTGGGAACAGTTTGATAGATAACGAATGTGATAGTCTAACACAATTTTACAAAGTCATTTTGCAGACTAGAATTGCACTTTGAAGTCAGTATACTTCATATGTAAAATCCTTAAAAACCTTGTGTTTTAATGGAGAAATGCACAAAGTATATATTATTTTCCATTCAGTATTGTCATCTAAGAAAATTGAATATAATTACTCCATGTGTACATAAATTTTTTATTTTTTTTTTTTTCATTCCAGCTGCAGCCAGGAAATTGCAGCCTGTTGTCAGTTTTCTCCTTGGTCCGGCCTCATATTGATATTAGTTTCCATGGGATCCTCTCACATATCAATACAGTCTTTGTACTGAGGACCAAGGTAACTAGAGAATACTCATCTGGCTTTTCTTTAAGTAAGTATGCTTTGGAGAGACAAGAAGTGCTGACAGCTCAGAAGCCTTCAGAGAAAATTCTTTGCACAGTAGTACACTCAATCCCTTTTGTATCTTGAGCCAAGAAAAAAATCACAGGAGTGAATTCATGTGTAGCTGTTAAGTAGAATGCTTTATAGGAATGGTGAAGTACATATATTTCATGTCTGATGCTTTCTTTGAAAGGGGCCAACCCATTATGTGGCATTGTACCAAAGTAAATATGGAAGGGCAATTACATTTACTTCATAACATTCGGGGAGACAAATATGAAATGTCTTCTTTGTTGGCCCCATATGTTCATACACAGTTCCGTGTCCTCTTCTGTAGAGAGGGCAGGAGAGGAGTTGGGTGATATGAACCAATACAACATGTAGAGTAGCACCTATTGTGTCAAGGAGCCTTTTTATTTATAGAAAACTAGCTGAGAGAAACCAACAAGATTTCTCAGAGATGCTCCCAGGCACAGGCAGAACTTCATAGAATAGGCAATACTTTTGTCAAACTGTTGTTAAAAAATAACGCAGAACAAAGCGAGAAGTTATGAACAGTAACGTAAAGAAAGATACCATGCTTTATATCTCTTAGGAAGCAAATCACAATATTAAAAATGGGTAATGTGTGGTGTTCAAATGAGAAATTAATTGGGTTTTAATGTAGGCCATAACTCTATTCCAAATATTCTGACTGCCTTCACGGAGAAGGCACTTATGTACATGGCCTGTGTGTAACACACGTACTATTGCGCTTATATAATTGTGACTTTTCATCACCAGGAGGGACTGTTGGATGTGGAAAAGCTAGAATGTGAAGATGAACTGACTGGCACAGAAATCAGCTGCTTACGCCTGAAAGGACAAATGATCTACTTGCCTGAAGCAGACAGCATTCTCTTTCTTTGTTCGCCAAGGTATGTTAAACCTTAAGGGTTCTGTAATGTTGCTTTTCATTTTACAATTACTAATTTTAAGAACACTTATGAGAATAGTACTACGGAGATTAATTGGTTCAGTTATTGATTTCATTGATTTTATGTGTTCATACTAAAAGAGCGACGAGCATTTAAGCATCAGAACTTGGCTGACAATAAATAATTCAATATAAACATTGGGATGCTCTGGCCCAGTCTGTACAAATGGGAATTCCTCATGATTCCATGATTTATGGCAAGCTTTGTCCTTTGTTTCTTACTCTCAGAGTGCTAAGAAATGTCACAATGATTTGGTTTCCTGTGTGGATTCATATATTTTTGCAGTAGTTTTAATGTAATGGAGCAGTGATGATTGTAAAGAAGTGGTTGGAATGGGGGATTGAATGGAGGGCTGCTTTAGCTAAGTTGAGCTAACACATCAGAGGACATTGTTACGATACGTTAACCTCCTGTGTAAAAGGGAGGGGGTGGATGAAGACACAAAGGGAAGAGGCTACCTTAACGTAAGCTCACTTTTATTTATGTACTGAAGTATAGACATTTGATATGGTCATGGAACTCATCAGTGAGAATTCTTTGTTTAAATGCAAAAGTCAAGAGCCATGTGTTAACATGAATGAACGCAAATAAGGAATTTTGCAGAAGGGACAGCTCATCAGAAATTCAGAAGCATAATCTTTCTTCTGTTATTTAGCAGCCACTGCTGTTTGTTTGAGTTCTAAATGCTCCTTTGGTAAGTTTAATTGTAACCATATGATTATATATTTCTCCACATTGCAGTGTGATGAACTTGGATGATTTAACCAGAAGAGGTTTATATCTGAGTGATATTCCGTTACATGATGCGACCCGTGATCTGGTTCTTTTGGGAGAGCAGTTCAGAGAGGAATATAAACTGACTCAAGAGCTTGAGATCCTCACTGACAGACTGCAGCACACACTGCGTGCACTGGAAGATGAAAAGAAAAAGACAGACATGTAAGAACCAAATCCTGATTTTGAGCTGAAACAGTCACAGCAATATAGTATTTATAGCTACTTTCTACAAAAAAGTAACAGAATCTTGGAAGGAATATAAGAGATGTTCGAGGCCCATAATTTTGGAGTCAAGAAAGAACATTTTACTTTAACACCTCATAGAGTATTTCTTTATTTAGATTGTCAAATGTCATCTTCAGTCTAGGCTGTTACATGCACAGGTGTTTTGATGGCTCCTTCCCTGTTAAGGAAAGTTACGAGAAGTGAACTGACAATCCTTTTTGGTTTGTGAATTACCTAAAACAGTAGTTTTCCAAACTTTCTTACATGCAGTCCCTGTAGCCAAGATGAATTTGATGAATGCTCAGATGCTACTATTTGACAGAGTTCTGTAACCCAGCTGTAGACCACTTTGTCTTTCTGGACTGCCATGCTTACAGGTTAATAGAACAGAAAAACGTAGCTTATAAGCCTCAGAAATAGTTGCTGTAAAGGTGGAGTTTTGCAATAGGCTAATGCTATGAATTTGATTTTACAGTTACCTGTAGAAATCAATTTGGGGCCCAATGCATATCCTTTATTATTGTTATGTATTTATATTTAGATAGTAGTCTTATCTAGATAGCCTCAAATCCATTTCTACAGATAACTGTAAAATCAAATTCATAGCATGAGTCTGTAGCAGCTCAGCTCAAGCACTGCTGGCAGGTAAATTAAAGGTTTGTGTGACAACCACTGTAGGGTTGATGGTTGACTTTCATTTATAAAACATAGTTCCCATCTCTGTAATAGAAGAACTTCTTGTGAATTGTACTTGTTTAGTAGTAGAGTTAACATTTGTTGTGCGATGAATTCTATTGACAGATTTTTTTTTCTGTGGTAGAGTAATGCAAATGATTGTAAAAAGTCTTCAAAGGCATGGATGGAAGAGTCAGAGAGAAAAGTAGCCTAAAAAATATTTTTTCTATTCATTCCTGTTGACTTGCTCTATAAAGTCATTTTGTCTTCAGGAATTCTAGCCTTCTTGGCAGCCACTGGAACAGACAGTATTGATTACCATATCATGTGCCAAAAGCGTTCACTAATTATAACTCATGCAGTAGTGAACTTGCCAAAAATACAACTAAAGAGGGCTTGTGCAGGAGGCTGTGTTCAAAATGATGCTCAAGATACGTGAAACAATCGTCAATCTTCAGCTTGCCCGCTTAGCTGTATAAGGAGGGAAATACACCTTAAGGTGGCAGTTAGAAAGTTAAAGGAATACATGTGAGAGTAAGGTGAAGCTCTGTGTGTGTAATTTGGATTTTATTTGCATAATTCGTAATGTGAACAAGTGTTAGTATTTCATATAGACAATTAAAAAGCATTTAAGAAATGCTAAAAGCAGCATTCTCAACAGAAGAGGAAGTGTTTAGCAATGCATGAATTGATCAAAGGTGGAAAGCTGTTTGAGCTTTTCATGGCTTTTTTTACAGTTTTTATGGTTCTGTGAGCAAAATCAGATTATATGAGCTGAGGATGTGGCAGAAATGTTTAAGCAATAAGCAAAAATGATCCAAGAGACTATTCACAGATCATATCAGAAAATTTAGTAATATACGCCTCATTTTGTTGGTAACTTAAATGTATTAATGTATGTTTGAAATATGGATTTAGTTATGCTGATGTACATCAGTTCCTGTTTCCCAAATAACATATTTTTCAGTAGACAGCTTTTATACTGCTCTTTGATGATGTGAGTATGTTATAAACCCTAGGGAAGGTACGAAGTTAATGACTGAAGAGTGCTGATGTAAAGACCTTTCTCCACATTCTTTTTGTTTTGCTTGTGCCTTTCTTTTCTTTCACATTTAGATTACTGTACTCTGTTCTACCACCATCAGTGGCAAATGAGCTGAGACACAAGCGTCCTGTTCCAGCTAAGCGGTATGACAATGTGACCATTCTTTTCAGTGGCATTGTTGGATTCAATGCCTTCTGCAGTAAACATGCCTCTGGAGAGGGAGCCATGAAAATTGTTAATCTTTTAAATGATCTTTACACGAGATTTGATATTCTGACTGATTCACGAAGGAATCCATTTGTTTATAAGGTAAGCAGAAGATTTTCAAAGTATTTACTCTGTGAATTTCAGTAACTTACTATCATGTCACTCTTTTCCATTCTTTGGACTTTAGGCTTTTTTGAAAAAAAGAAGTTCTGTTCTCAGTCGTTGAACTGTGGTACCTAATATTACATAGCTAAAGAAGAGTATGTTATTTATCTCTAAATGTGTGAAGGAACATACAGGGCTTAGGTCTCAGAAGCACTTCTGCACAGTCACCCATTAAGTGAATACATAAATGTACTTCCACGTTTAGCAGATGTGAACACTAATACAAGCAGTTTGTAGTTCTGCTGACACTGTGCTTTACATTTTTCAGTCATATACCTGGGTCTCCTGGTTGTAACTTATAACTTATTATTCAGTTATTTAATGTGAATTTCATTCCTTCATTAGGAATGAGGTGTAGTTGCAGATACAGCTGGTAGCAGGTAGATAGGTAGAAATAAAGATCCAGTAGATATGTACATGTGTATGCTTGTGTGTTTATAAGATTCATTCCTAGCTTTTACTAGAAATCAATTTTATGTCCTGTACCAAGTGAATCAAGAGTGTGAGTCAAAACAAACACAGTGCTCTGTTCCTGCAGAAATTCAGAATACCCCAGAAGAGATGCTCAAGTTCACACAACCACAGTGTCATTTTAATTTGCTGCATTGTGGGCGTACAATAAATTCTCTTCAGTAAGAGGCAGAGATGATGGGAATTAGGGTGATTTGGATAAAGTGAAGGGAAATTGTTTGAAAGGACAAGCGGTCTTGAAGGAAGCACTACGTTCATTCTAGTAAAGCCCACAATAATAAAGTAATTGAAAAATATGTATTTTGATAGGTGGAAACGGTTGGGGACAAGTATATGACAGTGAGTGGTCTACCAGAGCCTTGCATTCATCATGCACGATCTATCTGCCACCTGGCATTGGATATGATGGAAATAGCAGGCCAAGTTCAAGTAGATGGTGAGCCTGTACAGGTTAGTAAATGTGTGGGCTTGGATGAAGAACCCGTTCTTCGTTATGATGATAATGCTTTGAAATATGATAATGCACAAGTCCCAGTCCCTGCAAGCTTTGTTATTGTTAGATTTTGAGACTGATATCTGGCATAATATGAAGAGTCACATGGAGATGTGACATGTGCAGTTCCCAGACCTTAAAATCTAATTCTTGTGCTTAACCTTTTAAATTGGGTCCGCATCATTTATGTTTGTCTTCCAGTCATTTCAATTTAATCAACAAATTCCCATTACACATCAAGTACAATTCATTGAGTCTACTTCGTCTCAGTGAACAGAACAATAATATTTCCTTGCTGATATTTTTGATCACGCTTCAGATCCTCATGTCAGCATGAGAAAATACTGCATTAAAAAGAAAAGTTCAGTTCCATAGGCAGTTATGGCAGTGATTACTGGCAACAGTGTGTATTAGTGGAAGTTCACTCTTTGTGGGATTTTATGAAGATGTTGTGGCATTAATACAGAACTGGAGAGGCTGCATTGACCTGCGCTCATCAGAAGGCTGTGAGAGCTAAATAAGTAATGAGTGTGATGCCTGTTTCTATTTACAGGAATATTACTGGTCTAACACCTAGCTTAGATCTGTGTGCTTCACTTTGTCACTGGGCGAAAAAGTGAGAAGGTTTGATTTGGGGCTTTACAATAACTGTAATGTGCTATAAGAATGAGCTTCTCCAAACTCCTGTCCTATCTCTTGAGCTTTTAAATGCAAAACACCATGATGTTTCCTCTGAGAAACATCTTTGTTTCTTGACCTACACCATCCATTTCTGCATCTTCTGAGCTCTCATTAAACACAGACCTGCAGAGTATGCCTCTCTTTCCATTTTTTTTTTTAATTTCACAGTACATAACGGCAGCATGGCATAGTGCATGCTGGAAAAATACAGAGTTTGTTCTTTCATGTGAGAGGCAGAGCCATGACACTGCACTACTATAAAAAAAAAGTGACACAAAACACAACATGCAAGGCTTTAAAGAAGCAGGAGTGGCACACTGGAAAAATAAACTGTAGTAGATACTAATGGCATAATACCTGTCTTTAGTCAGAAGAATCAGATTAGTTATGTTGATTTTGAATATTCAAACTTTATTTTTTGTCTCTAAAGATAACAATAGGAATCCATACTGGTGAGGTAGTCACAGGTGTCATAGGCCAAAGGATGCCACGTTACTGTCTCTTTGGAAATACTGTCAACCTAACAAGCAGAACAGAAACTACTGGAGAAAAGGGAAAGATCAATGTCTCTGAATATACTTACAGGTGAGTGATGCAGTATTTTTATTGCTGTTCACATCTTAAAATAAATCACTTTGTTAGCATAACATCAAAGTGTCTTTGGAGATGAAAGTGACAGGACTCCTCCAACACATTGTTTAAGTACGTCAGTTCTCATGAAACTGTATAGCAAACTGCATTGTGATATACCATTATTGATATGCAGATATAATAATGATCTGGAGATAGATTTGAGTCTTTTGTTAATTTGCTCATGTATCTGTAACATGTTTAATATTTTACATAGTGCGTGACGTGCATGCATAGTACATACATTGACATGTTTTCTTTTTCAATTTCAGGTGTCTTATGACACCAGAAAATTCAGATCCTCAGTTCCACCTGGAGTACAGGGGTCCAGTTTCCATGAAGGGTAAAAAAGAACCAATGCAGGTTTGGTTTTTGTCCAGAAAGAGTACAGAGACAGAGGTATGACTAACCAGAGTGTAATTTTTTTTTTTAAACAAGGCATAAACATGACAAATTTAATCTAAACCACTGGGAGTCATTTGCATTTGCAAAACCAAATGTTCCCTAGGAGAAATGAAGAGTTTTGTACAACACTATTTCATTAACGCGTTTACTTTCTTGACAGCACATTAAAGTCCTTGATTATTTGTCATTGCAGTTTGTGCAGTCCCTGAAAGAATACTTTTGTATCTTAAAAAATCCTTGAGGGAATGCCCAGTGTTCAAATATTTATATCTCCCTCTTCTTATGAATTTCTCCACTGTACTAGATTTTGCAATATAATGTCTGTTTCTGTTTAGCTGACATGTCTGGTTATCAGCACTTCAAAATTCACCATTTGCTTTCTTACAGTGAGTGAATAAATGTGCCTTCAAATATTTAGGCAACAGTCCAGCAACTACTTGCAGGCAGGTTCACACCTGATGTGTATGGTGGTCTGTTAACCCCAGATGGATCTGCTTGTTCAGAGGCTGTTGCATGATAGAAGTCTTGCTTTAGAAATAGACAGGGTGAAGACTTTCTTCTAAATGACATATGAGCCTAAATTGTCTTTTGAAAATGATGCAGGGTAAAGCTTTTCAAGCACTGAGTGATCTTGAAGTTTATGCGTCAGTTTCAAAAGTCTGGGCATGGATTAACCAAAATCTCATTAAAAGCCAATGAGATCTAGACTCACAGGTGTGCTACAAACTTAGACACTTAGGTTACAGTATGCCAGCTGATTTGCCATAGCTGAGCAGGTGCATACATTCCACCCATTGCCAACAGGGAGAAAAACAGGGTAAAAGTAATTTACATAGCTTGAATTTTCTCCTGAACTAATACAAAAAGAAAGAGTTTTAAACTCATGTATTTAATCTTAAAGTGCGCTTGACTAAAATGATTAAAGTCATCAGTTACCTTGGCTGAAATAGATCTTGTAACTCACAGGAAATTAATTATGCGTCTGAATACTCATGTGCTTCTGAAAATGAAATCTAGGCTGTTAAACTGTTTGGGCTCTTTAGGAAATCTAATCCAGATTTATTACAACTGGTACCCAAGTATATGAATACTGACGTTTTAATGGTAACTGCCAGTATTAACCCCCAGTATTAAACTTCAGGGGAGAGCCTGTACGTCAACTCTGCTGAAGTCTTTATCTTAGTGTATATTACTTACAGTAATATTCTGGGTGCCACTTTTGGTAATACTTTTCTATTTTTAGTATATATCAAGATTAACTATAATTTCACCATGCTTTCAAATCTATAGTTGTATTTAAAATATATATTAAATAAACATCTTTCACTTTTTTCTGCATTATAAATTATGTCCTGTTATTTGTAGCAGGGCACATTGTATTTTTAAATGTAAAATTTCAGAGGGGTACTGATTCAGGTGGATATTTTCCTTGTTTCAGCCTCACATGTGCTTAATATGAATATAGGGTTTCGATAGTTTAGAATTTTAAATATTGCAATTTCCTTTTAGAGATCTGGTACAACAGTTGGTTTTGTTAATCCTCACAGTCCTGAGACTGTGTTGGCAGTCCTGAGAAGTACTTGCCGACATTTGGGCAGGAATAAACCTGACAGAAAACTACTGTCAGCCTGGTTTTCAGGAGCTCTTAAGACTCACAGTTTAAGCACACTCAAAAAGTCTCTCTAATTTTTGTTAGTTTTTGTTAATTCTGAAATTCACATATACGTGTAATTCTTACAGATAGAAGGACGTCTCGCATCACAAGTATCTCCTCTAAACTGTAGTAAATTTGGGAGAACAGGAGACTAGAAAGATGCATTCATGTGGTGATTGGAACTGATAATCATTTTGTCAGAGGTGATTTTGAAAAGTGAAAGAATATAATCCTCTAATCTTTTAATTCTTTTTCACTCCCTGCATAATATCATCTGTCTATACATGAAAAGATGCACTGAGTTTTACTCGTTTAAGATTTTCTGAACTGATTGCAGTTTTTCTTTGTCTTGTGAAGGTACTCTTCATGTTATTTCTGGCACTTTATAGGCTGTACATAATAGTTGCAATCCAAAAGCAGAAATCAGTAACCAACTTGTGTTTGTTTACCTCAGAGTAATTGCGTTGCTTTGGACAAGGGTGTAGTCTTGGTTTTCTTTTCAGAATCTCATTCTCTCTGACCTTCAAACACATAGACATGCTAATGTATTATCATGTGCAGTGCCATTAATTTCAGGGGGACCATTCATAACAATACATATGGCATGTTAACATATGTTCAGAAACTATATAGTAAATTTCCTGAAAGGTCATTCCAGAATATTGCAAGAAGTGGCTTATAGCAGTAAACATGAAAATGTTTCTTAAATCATCCTGAAGATATTTCTGCTGATTATTCTTTTACTGTGACGTTTTCTACCTCCAATATATTTAAATCTAGGATAGATTCACATTAGTGCTATATTCTCCTTTTCTTTATATCCCGTAGAGAGTGATTAGCTCAGCATTTGCAAATCTATCAGCATAATATTTTACCCTGAAGCCCAGTAATTAATATATGGTGAGGAAAGAGGACAAAATACTTACAGCTGTCATGGAGATGTGAAACTAAGGCTTAAAATATGCTGTCTCTCTGCTAGACCTGTAGAAAATGATGGGGTTGGAGCAGCTCAGCATACCTCAAACTTGGTTCCTAGGTTGGCATCTCTAATATCAGTCACCGTGAGCAGTAGTCACCTCTGAGTAAGACCTGATTTACAAGAATCAGTGTTGATTTGGCGTGCTGCTCCTTTGCTTTTTTCCCACTTAAGATACCTATTCCATGATACCATACCATTACAGCAAAAAATTAGAATTGCATCAGAAATATACATAGAACAAAAGCAACTGTGACCAATTACTGACTTTGCATCCGCTTGTTTGCATGTTATGAGATTATTACTTTCATTATTATTTTAACAGAGGTTCAGCTGCAGCTTCTCTCGAGAAACAAATTTGTTGTAAAAAGAAAAGCTTGCAGAGAGCCTCAGATGTCTGACTGCAATTTCCATCATTCCCCACTTCCAAATATCTTTCTCTTCTGCCTTGTCCCTGCATTACTGATGGGAACAAGTTAAAGTATCTCAGTCAGAGCTGATAGTTCATCAGGGAATGTAGGAATTGCTACATTCCTACATACAACACATAAGAAAGAAATACGTGCGTTACTTATGCTGTGTTTTATTATTTTTATTGTTTACTGATGTTGGTTGCAAGTTGTAAAAGGTATTTTGTTACTGCATTGACCCACCATGTTGTTGCTTCAAAGATAATCCCTTACTTCTCAAATTCTACTTGCATGCACTCAAGGAAACAAAGCAAGATGCTGTCTGAGCTGAGGGAGGAGGAAGAGGACGCTGGGTAGGGTGCAATACTGTCTCCAGGTAGAGTGCCAGGCAGTAAAGTTGGGTTATGGATGTTATTTCACATCACATCTCCCATTGCCATTGTCTTGACGTACTCCTGAAATCATACTCGCCATTTTTCTCCAGGCTGGCTTGCTATTTTTTTTCGGTAATGTTTGGTATTGTTATATCTGCTATGAGCACGTATTTCAAGCTTTCCATTTTTTTGATACGCATTTTTGCACGTCAGTCATATGGCCCTTCCTACCACCAGGTAACACTGAATAATATTTTGTAGTGTGCACGCTACAACTAACCAGTCCAATCTGATGCTTCATATCTTCATCTTCATCTCTGAAGTACAGTGGTTATGTGAATCAGTGACATTTCTGGAAAGATAGGTAGTTCAGTTGTTGGGCAGAACAATAAACCAAAAGAACTGTTTTTAAAAATAATGCCTAAAGCAGCATTATAAAAATTATTGTATCAGTGTTGTTTATCAGAATTAGTTCTGCTATTACCATGCTTCCCATTCATTTTCTGGATAACACTTGATGCACTGTAAATTCCTGGTTAGACAAAGGTTCCTCCTTTGATATCATCCTGCATTTTCCCTTTGTAGACACTATGTAAACATCTTCTATTTTGAAAGGGTTTGTTTGTCTGATGCTGTGATTTGAAGCATGTGCCAAGGTACTTCTACTTAAATGCTGTTCACTTGCAATGTATTTCTCATTGATTTGTATTCACTAAGTTAAGTTGTCATGTTAATAATAGATTGCTAGTCAGTTTTAGACCACCTGTAGTGCTTTGATTCTTTTCTGATGGAGCCCCTAGAACTGAAAGGCATGCTGCTGGGACATGGTTGCCATGGTTGCCTTTTGGTTTGGTCTCTCTAATTTTCGGAAATGATCCTGTTTTATTCCTTGGGAGGACCTGCCATCGTGGCATAATTATGGGATGTAAAGCTTGTAAGGGGACCTGGTGTTTTTATCAGCTAATACAGTTAGGAAAAGTGGACTAGGTTTCAGATGTGTAGACCCTCCCTAACTTCAACATACAGTGCATTTTTATGTGAATAATATCCATTCTTATCTGACTGATAATTTCTGAATATTTGCCTTATATAATAGGATAGTGCAATTACTTTGTGTGTAAAAATTGTCTGTATCTAGTATACCTTATCAGCACAGAATATATATGTATAAATGTTTCATGTTAGTGTGCAAAAGAAACTGCAATAAATTATTTTTGCCACTGACTTACAGAAATTTTGTGATTTTCTTTTCGGTGAAAGCTGTATTTCATTGTTTGGTACAAAACAAGTATGTTCTCCATTCCATAATTTGAAGTCCAAGTTTAAATAATTTATTGAGTCATTGTTCCAATATTTGCAAGTGTCCAAGAGTCTCCCTCATTGAGGTTAATGGATCACATTGTCAGATGAAAATAGTGTTCAAAATCTGTAGATTAATGCTCCAAAAATAGTAGACAAGGTCACAAAAATGCATTCATTCCTTTGAAACACTTGGACAATATTTAACAATCAGAAATTGTTAGTCATCCACTTTGAGCAGGATGTACATTACCAACCAAAGCTTTTGGAATGGGAAGTGAAGGGAGGAGGCCACATTCATTCCTTTCCGTCTTCTCACTGTCGGACAGCAACGCATCCCAGCGCTCCGTGAGATTGCTCTTGCTCGAGTAGATACACAACAGCAATTTGCACTTGGAGTTGATCAAACTTGCCAGAACTTTAATGGTGACTCCTAAAGACATGGCATTTGTGACAGCTGTGGTTGTGCATTGACGTGATTCATGCAAAAGGATGTGAAGTAACTGAAGTTCCTGTATTACGCCTCAAGCTGATGGAAGATGGCATGCCAGAAAACTCAAATGATGCTCGGAGTTTATTTTTTACCTACTTAATCATTGCAGAGTATTGAAGCTCCTGTGAAGCTGCTCTGTGACATAACCAGTTTCTTAAAGCACTAGAATAATAGCTCATCTATTGTCTTCATATAAGAGCTTTTTATCTCAAGGAAACCAGTACAATTTAGGCACTTCACTTTTTAATTGCTAAAACTGGTCCTCACTTAAATGCTTCATTCAGCTATTAAAATTATACTTTGCGTAAATATTACTCTCAGATAACAGTTAAAAACTTCTGCAGGTATTTAGTTCTTTTATTTGTGCTCTTTTGCCTCTTTTATTTAACTATAGCGATTTACTTCTTCAACAGAAACTCTCTAGCTGAAACATGAGGCAGAGTAATTGCCAAAGTGTGCTTCAAAGGTGTTTACAAATGCAGTTTTTATTTTAGCATTTTTTGCAAAAAAGTTGAAACGAGAGGAAGAAAGGGGAAAACAGCAATGAAATGCAAATTATGGAACACTTAGCTGTGTGTAATCTTCTGGATCATACGCTTTCCTTTGAATTCAGATATGCAAAAGAATTTGGGTTTCTGTGGTATTATTACCCAAGGCTGTGGCTGCGCAGGGGACTCTGCTTCTCTGCTGCTGTCTTGAAGTTGGCACTGCGGTTGGCTTCCATAATGCAAGGCTCAGTAGACTGATTGTCGGTAGTGTTTCTGAGATAATAGACTCCCTTTTTTTTCCTAATACAGGGCTTGAAAAACAGCAGAAGGACTCACACTGCCTTCGGTAAATTTTGAAGCAAGCTTATTAAGCACATACTGTCAATCTTCAGAAGTTACATTCTAAAGACTTCCACAACCAGTGAGGCCATTTGATAATATGGCCCATATGTTCAGATGCCGATCTTTTAACTGATGTTCCCCATGTGGAATTCTAGCAAAACTTGATTTTTTTAAGTTTATATGGGTGGGAAAATATGTGTGTTTACTTTTTTAGCAAAAACATTGTCAATCCTAGTGTAGTAAGAGGCATATATTATTACTATATTTACTTTTTAATCACTGTTACACTTCTTTAAGGCTCTCTTGGGATGTTAAAAGTCAGAGCCTTATGCAGTCAATTTTTATTAATGTTTATATGCCATAAGGTAAAACTGCAAATCCAGTCCTCAGTGGGAGAAAACTCTGGGACCATAATTTCATATTTGATAATTTTTTGGGGAAAAACCACAATGATAAACAATGAATGCAACATTCATTTGGATATCTATTTACAGTATTATCACAACAGTTATTCTTGTGGTTTTTACGTACTAAAATCAATTAAAATGTTGCACTACTGTGGTTAGGGAACTAGAAGGGGTTTATAAATAAGAATAGATTGAAAACTATCTTGAAACATCAATAAATGGGAAGGGCACGGGTGGAATACTGCTATTTTTAACTCCATATATGTTTCTGAAAAGCTACACACGGGGACAGACCAAACAGCAAGCTACACAAGCGGAACTCCATTTTCTTTTAGGAGAATGTGAGCTTGTGAACTTTGCCATTCTGGCAAACACAGCTGCAGATGCCATAATTGGGATGTAGCGGGAAGGTGCAAACAAGTCAGCAGCTAGAGCAGAAGCCTGAATGTCAGGACTCCAGCTGTGATCTCTCCGATTGACATCACAAGCCATTGCACAGCTCATAGTTCAGTTCTTTTCCCTCCTGTATGCAGCAGCAGCTTAGCTGTAATGATCTTAGGTGTATAGCGTCTCTCCCTTGCCCCCAGATTTGATGATGTACAAGAGGGATGCATTATTTGTGAAAGCCTTATTGCTGTGATTTCTGTTGGGACTATCCACTAAGTCCAGCTGAACACACACTTAAATTTTGCAGGATCTGGCGACTCTTTGGTCACCTACACTATGGGTTTGTAGGAGCAGGAGACAGCAGTATGTGTCTTAGACCTGGGTACAGTAATGAAAACAATTGCCCAGAAGACTGTTAATTCACCCTGCTGCTGTTGGGCTATGTTTTGTTTGTTTGTTTGTTTTTAGAGGAACTGCATGTTTTTATTCTTACCTCACAAAGGTATTATTGGCAGCAGTGGTTTCTTAGCACCCAGAAAAGTCAGTTCAGCTTTTATATACATATATAAAATAAATATATTATATAAAGATATACACACATATAAGAAGAACGTCCTCCAGGAAGGAGTCACGAAGACAAGAGTGCAAAAACCAATTGGGTTATGTGAGATTTTTTTCATTACCAGGTTACAGTTTTAGGTGGTAGTACGAAACATACCCGATTAGTTACAAGCTTACATTTGAAAAACAATTACATGCACGTGAAGGAAATAGGAAGGGATATATTAGCATCTGATACGAATAAGAGCTGTGTGGAGTTTGAGGTCCCAAAACCTTTTCTTTGGACAAAACTAGTAAAATCTAAATCTAATAAACTTTTGAGTGTGCTGCAGCCAAGCTGTGTGCTCCAATATACTCTCTGATACTCTGAAACTTTGATAGCCTTGTCAATAACACCTGTCTCCATGGAGCTGGAGCAAGGCCTGAGGCATCTGTTTCCTCACGTGATTTTCGTTCACCATGTAAACAGGTCAACACTATACTTATGTTGTCACAAACTGTAAAATGGTTATTAAATGCATTTCCAGAGCCATTGCATATGGAAGGAAAAAAAAAAAAAGTTGGGTCATCACTTTCTAGCAGTATGAGAATGAGAACTTGAAGAGAATTTGGTACTCATGTTCTCCAGACAGTCATCAGGCAGTCAGCATAGTGGAACAAATGGGAGTTAATGGGCTGTTGTAAATGAATTCTGTCTGTCACTGTGTTGGCTTAGCGTCTCCAAGTAAAGGGACGTTACTGGACTTTCAGTCTTTTTTTTTAGTGCCAGAGACACACAGAAGGTCCATGTTATTATTTTCCAATTACAAAATGCTTTGTTTCCTGGGGGAGAGTCTGAAACTGTTGTCATTTCATGCACCTGCCTGACAACGAGAGGGAGCAGGTAATGAGCCAGTGAACAGAGCCATGCTAATCTAAAGAAAAAAAAAAGTGGTTCCATTCCCCGATCTATAGCTGCAGATACAAGGCACAATTTTTTTTCTCTGTTGTTCTTCAGACCTCTGGCTGGCTTTGGGTGACAGTTGTGGAAAAACTGCAACAATACGTGCTGTCTCCACCAATTCATTCTTTGTTTGTTATTAGCAGGAAAAGGCTAATGTTCATTTTCATCATAATGGTCGATGGGTCTTTCTGCCAATGTGACCGTTTTGGAGATAACGACAACCAGGGAATGTAAGAAACATTTTGTGATTATTATTCTGGGATGAAGCTGTGTGTTCTCTGTTATAAGGGTTTTGTTCCAGACTATTCCACATATCCAGCAGTCAGTTTGACATTGCTTTTGTTATTTTTCTTTTTGCAGAGGTGATTATGGGGATTTCAATATATTTAATGCACCTCGTACAAATTTTATGCTACAGTACATTGTACTTTCAAGGGAAGCGATTTTGTGTAATGAGGGTCTATGAACTCGCAGCCATCAGCCAATGCTAGCACACATTTGTTTTTATCTGTTCAAATGCTGGACACCTCTGGCATGAAGCCTGTGTGGTTTTTCATATTGCAGGTTCTCAGGGTCATTCTAGCCTTCCAGAATTGATTTTACACTTTGATAA